AAGACAAGAAGAATCCATTTTAAGTGGAAACAAAAACTAAGTAAAGCTCAGCTTGAATCCAGGGCTCCATACAAGTAATGTAATATTTGCAATGAGCACGGTAGCTCTGGTTGATCACCTGTGTTTGCAGTTGACGGGTGGGAGCAGCGCATACTAGTGCTGGTGCCTTTCCTGACGGTTTGTGTTTGGTCTCTTTCCAGTATGCCACAACAGGCTGCTCCCTGACCCTCCACCACACAGAAAAGCCAAAACATGAAGCCATCTGTGAGTACCGTCCCTACTCCTGCCCGTGCCCCGGTACCTCCTGTGACTGGGAGGGATCCTTGGAAGCCGTGATGTCCCACCTCATGCACGCCCACAAAAGCATTACCACCCTTCAGGGAGAAGACATCATTTTCCTTGCCACAGACATTAACCTGCCAGGGGCAGTGGACTGGGTGATGATGCAGTCGTGCTTTGGTCAGCACTTCATGCTGGTGCTGAAGAAACAGGAGAAGTGCGAAGGTCACCAGCAGTTTTTTGCCACCGTGCTGCTCATTGGCACCCGTAAGCAGGCAGAGAACTTTCAGTACAGACTGGAGCTGCACGGCAGCTGCCACCGGCTGACCTGGGAGGCATCTCCCTGCTCCATCCACGACGGCGTGCTCGTGGCCATCCGCAACAGCAACTGCCTCGTTTTTGATACAGCCACTGCACACCTCTTTGCTGACAACGGAAACCTCGGCATCAACGTGACAATTTCTATGTGTTGCCCATGATGCATTGCTAGCAGACTCGAGCTGGCTGGACGTAGTGCTTCACTGGGGTTTGGTTTTGGTTCCTGTTTTTTACGGTGTTCAACTGTGTCATCTTGTATGCTAAGGTTTCTGACTAGCCAACGGTTGCAACTTTGGGCAGAAGAGGAACAAGAGTGTGCTGTAAGTAATCTGAGCAGGACAAGGTCTTTTAAAATTCTTGGGTGCCTTAGGAAGATTACACACACAGTTACCTTTTATAATTTAATTATATTTTATGTAAAGAGTGCTTCCATTGGATATATGGCTTAAGAGGCTCCTGTTTGGAGCACACCTATAAGCCTTTTCATCAGCAGTACACACTCCCTCTGATGCTGGTGAGCTTTAAGAAAAGGCTTTAGTGTCACTAGAGGGTTTGGTTTGGAAGAGACTATCATCTGTTCCAATCCTCCTGCTGTGGGCAGGGACACCTCCCACTGTCCAGGCTGCTCCAAGCCCTTTCCAACCTGGCCTTGGACACTGCTAGGGATCCAGGGGCAGCCACAGCTGCTCTGGGCATCCTGTGCCAGGGCCTGCCCACCCTCCCAGGGAACAATTCCTAATTCCCAATATCCCATCTCACCCTATCCGCTGGCAGTGGGAAGCCAGTCCCCCTTGTCTGTTACTCCAGGCCCTTGTCCAAAGTCCCTCTCCAGCTCTCTTGTAGCACCTTTAGGCACTGGAAGGAGCTCTAAGTTCTCATGATTTGCCCTCAGTGAAGCCACGTTGGCTATCACAAATCACCTCCTTATTTTCCATGTGCCTTAGCATAGCTTCCAGGAGGATCTGCTCCAAGCTCTTTCCAGGCACTGAGGCAAGACCTGACCACCTGTAGTTCTCTGGACCTTCCTTATTCCTCTTTCTAATAAAAGAGGGTTATGTTTCCCCTTTCAAAGTCAGTGGGAACTCCTCTGGACTGCCTCAACTTCTCAAACACGATGGATGATAGTGGCCAAGCCACTTCCTCCACCAGTCCCTCTGAACCTGCCGGTGCATCTCATTAGGTCCCATGGACTTGTGCACCTTCAGGTCCCTTCGACCTCCTCTACCCCAGTCCTCCCCTGCTGTGGGCAGTTCTTTGTTCTCCCACTCTCTGCCTTTGCCTCCTGTGACTTGGGCAGAGTGGCTGGAGCAGCTTGCCACGAAGGCTGAGTCAGAAACATGGCTGAGTACCTCAGCCCTCTCCATGTCCCAGGGAACTGGGGCTCCCATTTCCTTCCTTAGAGGGTCCACATTCTCCCGAGTCTTCTTTTTATCACCGGTGTACCTATAGAGGTTGCTTTGCTTGTTGCCCTTAATGCCCCTGGCCAGATTTAATTCTTTCAGGCTTTAGCATTCCTAACCTGATCCCTGGCTGCTCACAATCCTCCCTGGCTGCCTGTCCTTTCCTTGTAGGTGGGGAAGGAAGGAAATCCAAGGAACCTCTCACAGGAGATGCCATGAGGGGAACAGTAGGTACTTCAGCAATGTTTCTCCATTCCCTGCTACACCTTACAGAAGGGAAGGGCACTGGGTCAGCTGTGGTGGTGGCTTCAACAGGAAAAAGGAGAGAAGGGGCTGGGGTATGGCATGGTACATTTCACATGGAATTGCTGGCTCCTGTCTGCTTTAGGGGGATCAGGCCAGGTACAGGTGCAAGCAGGAGGCACAAGTCCCACAGACTGCAGATGGATGGAGCCAGAGACACAGGGATGTCCATGTGCAGCTGCCCTGGGACACATGCTACTATTGATTATTGTAAAAGATTCTTAATATAGCAAGAGCTTTATGGCCAGTGTCTTGTCATTTGGTATTTAAGTTTTGTTGCCATATTTCTTTTATTTTGCAATAAATATTTTGCAAAACCTGCGCTGAGGAGCCGTGCTAACCCACGAGTGCGCGGCAGCTGCTCTGCGGTTACGCCGCGTGCTCGGCCGTGCTGGATCAGCTGGGGTCCCCTGGCATGGGCTGGCTCTCCTGGCAGGGTCCTTGCCCCTGCCACCTCCCCGCCACCATGCTGGCACCACAGCTGCCTCTGCCTGCAGCTCCCACCTCTGCCGTGGGATCGTTCTGCTTGAATCACTGACAGCAAACAGCAGCTCCCCGTGGGCTGTGCCAAACCTCGTCCCTGTGCCTTTGCGGGAGGCTGTGAGCCACGGGGTCACACTGCCAGGGGAAGCCTCACAGGGTGGAAAATGGCAGGTAAAGGGACAGGTGAGACTTGGTGTGAATAAATACAATACAAACGAGGAAAACCAGTCCTGACTGTTCCTCCTGGGAGAGCTGTGTCCAAGCCCATAGCAGCCATCACCAGCCCTCAGAAAAGTGCACAAGAATAAGTTTAGCCTCAGTGAAGGGAAGCTCAGGCTGGCTGCAAGAACTTGGAAGTAGCCATGGAAAAAACTTCCCAAGGATTTACTCTCTAGGCACTGAACACCAACAATTAAAGATTCTACATCTGGTCTCACTTACACCGTGCTCTGGCAGAACTCTGGCAGCATCAGCCTGGTGAACTAATTGCTCCCTGCATAAGCAGGATCAAAGTCAAGCCATGCTTCCAACACCTGTTACCACCTGTGCTTTCATCAGGATTCATCAAGCAAGAATTCCTAAGGATTTGATTAATTTTTCTGTAATTCAGTAAAACTTGTAGTGGAAGGTAGTTTTCTTACTGACAGCTGGGACGTAAGAGGATTTTTGCATAAAGTAAAACTCCAAAATGTGTCTTTGAATATAGCAGGATTAATTAATTACTCCAGTGTTACCTGTAATCCACATTAGATAAGTTAACACACGTTATCATTAGGTCTGTCCAGACACTCAGTTCTGAAGAAGTGGCAAACTCTTGTTAGATTTCACTTCAAAAAAACCCACACAAAATGAACCCATCACCTCGTGTCTTTTCTGAAACTGAGTTTAAGATAAGGAATACCTCAGCTGGCACTGCCAAGAAAAGAGGCGTTTCCAGTTCAGGTCATTGAGCAGATAGGTGACATTCATTCAGGATTCCCTCAGGTTTCAGGTTTTCTTCCCAAGGCAGCTGATATGACTTGCCAAGTAAAAGTGTGACAGTTCCTCAAGACATTCAGAAGAGGTTATTGAGGCCTGCCTGGTTCTTGGAACAGAGCTGACCCCTCTCAAGCCCTCACACTTGAAAGGGAGGGTGAAGCACATCCAGACAGAGCTCAAGCAGACAGACCTGTATGCTGGGCAGAGCGCCAGCCAGGTGCCCTGCAGCCCACCAGGAGCACCTGCTGTGGTTCTAGAGTTCTCCCTAGAAACTATTTCCACTTCAGACACAAATTAAAATGCACGTGTCAGGGACTGATGAGTTTAGAGCGAGCACAGCTCGCCTCGAGGGCCTGCCCTGGCCGTGCCTGCCGGCCCTCTGCTGTCGGGACCATGGAAGTGATCTGGCAGTGCTATGGGGAGTGCTCGGCACCGACAGACACCAGGTGAGCCACCGAGACACTGGCTGCACCTCAGCACGCTCTTTCCATCTGAAATAGAAGTGAAACTGACTCCTCTGTTGTGGAACTCACGTGCTAGTGAGACACTGCGAATTCTTACCGACAGCACAGCTAAAGCAGCACACACCTGCTCTCCCGAGGGGAATCCAAACCTGGCTGGGTTTGTGCAAGACGGTTTTCTCTCTTTTATTCTCCGAGCTGTATGTGCAGATTCCTTGGAGAGGTTCGACAGCGCCAAGTCCTACGGGAGAGATCGGGAAGATGTGTGACAAACGTGTGACACAGGTGTAAGGAATCCGCTCGGGCAGGTGTTCCAGGTGCAGACAGGTCGTGTCCGAACAGGCAGTCACGTCGGGTTTGGTAACGCGTGTCACCCCCAGTCCAGCTCCCAGCTGCTCCGGGGCTCGGCAGGCGCGGAGCGCCGGGACGGCGGGACCAGGACCGGGCGCGGCGGCTCGGGCCCCCGCCAGCACCACGGGCCCCCGCAGCCCCGCGCAGCCCGGCCGCCTCCGGCTGCCCCGTGAGAGCCGCCCCGGCTCCGCTCCCGGCCGCGGGCCCCGGGCGGTGCGGCCGGCACGGCGCCCGCAGCCCCGCCGAGGCGGGCACGGGGAACGGAGCAGCCGCAGCTGCCGCCCGGGGAACGGAGCAGGGGCAGCGCCGGCCCGGGCGGCACCGGGTACCGGGCGGGGCGGGGCCTCGGGCGGAGCCGCCCCGCGCGGTCCCGGCGTGCCCCGCGCCGCCGGCGTCGCCCTGGAGACGGCGGCGCAGCGGGCCGGGCATGGACGGGCCGGGCCGGGCCGCGGAGCCCAGCGGAAGGGCGGACGATGCGGCGGGCGGGCCCCGCTGGCCCCCGGCCCCCGAGGAGGGCACACACCACCCGGCAGAGCCGCAGTGCGGGACACCCCCGGCCGGCCCGCAGCCCACCCCCACGGGCCTGCCCACCCTCCTGGCCTACAGACCCGAGTCCTCAGAGGCAAACGTACACCACGAGGTCAGTTGGGGTGGGCACTCCCCGCTGCTTCATTCACACGGTTCTATGTGGAAAAGTGGGAACCAACGCCCTTTGCCGAGCCTATAAAGGAGCCCCTTCATGACAGGTTTTTCTTCTGCGAGGCTGTTGAAACAGCCTGGGCACCAAGAGGCTATGCAGCCCCCCCCCTCCCCGCTGCATCCTCTGTTGAGAATTTCCCAGCAGAATATTTTGTCTAAATCAGACACAAAATGTATATAAATAGGTACAGCCACCTAATACAAGCAGGGCACAAAGTTCCCCGTAACCCTTAGCAAAGTTACCAAAGAGTTAACTCAAGGCATGAGGTGGGGAGCAAGGGAATTTTGTTTCAGGATATCCAGTACCGATCCTCAAAACACACCCTGCTGTCAGCCTGTTTTGCATCTGGTCAGATGTGACCAGCTCTGTATCACCAAGTCTGCTGGTGCTTCCTCAGAAACTCCCACAACTGGAGTTTTTCTCTCTGTAATGCATTCAAATCCTCAGCTCCAGTGTTCTATGCTCTCAGCTTCCCTGGGAAGGAGCAGAACTCACAAATACCAATCATTCCCTTTGTTTGGGGGCATTTATTGATTTATTTATAACACATCTGCTATTCTCTTTGGTGGTTTCCTGAACCTAATGTTTGAGTCATTCCAAGATATCCCAGACATGGATCTGTCGTGAGTGCCTTTAGGTGCTTTGTCACATCTGTTGCATTTTCACCGTGCTAACTGGGGATCTGGGGGCTGGTGCCCCTCGTCCTTACTCCCTGCTCTCCCCACCATTGCTGCAGGCAGAGGAGGATGCTGAGCCAACCTGCGAGTACTGTGGCAACCTGCTGAGGCCGTTCCCCTTCTCCCAGGATGTGCCTCTCTCTGAGGACCAGGAGGACGTAAGCTGGCAGGGAGGACAAGCAGGGGTTTGCTGTGGAATAGCCACGCTCACGGCTCTGCTCTCTCACCCTCTAGAAATTCTGCTGCAAGCGCAGCCGGGAGCTCTATGAGTTCATCATGAAGGAGAAGAAGAGGCTTGAGGATGCCAGCAGCCTTCCCAGAGCTGTCAGCACCCAGGAATCCCTCAGCTCTGAAGCCAACCTGCTGCTGTCAAAGGAGCAAGACAGCCAGAGGTACTGGGAGGACTGGGGATCAGGTCTGTGTAATGAACAACGGGGAGCTTTGAGGGGAATAGGAGCGTTAAGAAACCACAGGGAGAGGGATGAAAGAAGAAAAACCTTTGCTTTAGGCACCAGTCCTGATTCTCTCTGGTCCTTCTCTTTCACATAAAATACTGATCCAAACCCCATTAAAATATTCAGCTCTCCTTCCAGCAGAGCTGATGCCACTGCAGTGGCAGTCTGTTCACTGGAATCTGTGTGGGCACAATTCCTTTCTGCTGAGGTATGAGTATTTTGGTGACGCTGTGCTGCTTATTACTTGGAATTGTGAGCAGAGAGAAAAATAGATTCAGAAATTGTGTTCCTGAAGCAGGGGTATCCACTACTTGTGGCTTTCTAACACTTCTATTTTCCAGGCAGCAGAAGAGACACCTGGCTAGAGAGTTGGCTGACCAGTCTTTAAGGCTGAGTGCCACTAAAGGTGAGCTGGTATTTCCTTATGGATTTGTCCATTTATCTCAACAGTGCCTTCAGTGGAATTGCTGGTTTCTAACTGGAGGATTTTATACAGCGACATGTTCGTTCATTGTCAGATAAGCAATCTCATTAAATTAGATACAAATCATTCCAAGTCTTGTCCTCACACATGAGCACAAGAGGAGGCACATCCTCTTTGCACAGAGTTTGTAATGATTTTCAGTATGTATCTGTGATGTTTCCAGCTGAGATGCACAGAACCTGACATGAGAGAATGAGTTGGCAAAGCGAAGCCCTTAGGAAATAGGAACTGCCAAAATGAGTCTTGCCCATATTTTGCCTGATCAGGTGGATATTCCATCAATTCCTAGTCCAGGCTGTAGATGACTGAGCAGCCTTTGGATAGAGGAGTTTTGACAGGTGAACCAGATTTACGATATGGGCATGTTTTCAGAGAGGATGGCAGGGCAGTGAGGCTTCTGGAGCACTGGGATCTCAAATGGTCAGTTCCAGTGCGTGGAGCCAAATGTTATCCCAAAAAGTTGCTCTTTACACAAATGTGTGTATAGATGTAACTGAAAAAAATGCTATCTTTTATCATAATCCTGTGCTCTGAAATAGCTGAGCACTTTGGACTGCCCTTGTTAGAAAATAGCCGAGACAGACTGTCAGGATGGAGCGTTTCAGCCAGGAACTCCCTCTCCCCCAGTTACAGCAGAGGTGTCGGGCAGCCCCGCGGGGGGCACTGCCAACCCTCTCTGCTGCACACAAGCCCTCTCCCTGTGCTCTGCAGGGTTACAGCAAGCTGGATCCGCTTCCTACAAGCCTTCCCAGGAGCTCGCATCTCCCGAAGGTGGGACACCAGCGCCTGTTGCAAGTGCAGCCAAGCCCGAGCCCCGGCCTAAGGAGAAGCCCAAGCCCGAACCCGAGCCCCGGCCCAAGGAGAAGCCTGAACCAGAATCCCAGCCCAAGGAGAAGCCTGAACCAGAATCCCGGCTCAAGGAGAAGCCTGAGCTGGAACCCCGGCCTGAGGAGGAGCCTGAGGAAGAGCCCCGGCCCGAGGAGGAGTCCGAGCTGGAGCTTTGGCCCGAGGAGGAGCCCGAGCTGGAGAACGAGCCCGAGTCCCAGCCTGAAGAGGAGCCTGAGTCCAAGAAAGAGCCCAAGCGCGACAAGAAGCCCATGTCCCGCAGTGTCCTCTGCTACGAATTCAGTCTTCTGGGGAAGAAGGCAGGTACCTGCGGCCGACAGCGACGGGAGCACCTTGGACATGTCAGCACTCTGAGCTGGCAGAGCCTGGCAGTGCCCATTTTCACAGGGCAGCTGTGCCAGACTGCCCTCATCCATTTTATCCTTCCAATCTTAGGTGGGGAAGGGTAAATTGGTGCAGAAGTACTACAAAAATGGAAAGAAATTCCTTACCATGCTCCCAGACGGAACATCACAGTTATTGTATCCTTTACAGGGTTCACTTGCCTGCCTTAGTCCAGGTCTATTATTAATTTTAAGTGTGTCCCCGTCCGCTTTATTACAACCCAGCTCATCGATCCCAATTGCTCTGAGGAGCAGCAGCAGTGAAACTTGACACAGCTCCTGGGCTGAGGTTTCAAAGAACAGCCAGCTCCAATGAGCAGTAGCTTCCAAGACCCAGCCCAAGGAAGCAGCACACTTTTTAACACTCTCCTCTGGGTAATGTATCAGTTTTTACACTCCAAAGTAGTACTCAGAAGTATTTAGTGTGTAATAACAGATCAACCAAGCAAAGCAGGGGGTTACAAACACCTTACCTAGTGGCAGCTATCCATCTGGAAACCTGGCCATCATCATTGCACAAGCCAGAGACCAGCTGATGTGCATAGTACAGGAAGACGAGCCAAGGACAGCCAAAATCCGAGCACTGTTTCAGTCTGATGGCAGGAGCACATGCTATTACCCTTCCGGAGATGAGTGGTGCGTTCAGCAGCTTTGCTGTCTCCTCTGTGCACTGACATTCCAAAGGCCGTAAAGACTATTTTTAATAGTATCCAAAAAGAGACAAATTTAGCAGCTCATAGGCCCTGCTTCAGGTGCCCCCAGAGCAGCAAGGCAACCCAGCTGTGCCTTGAGAGGTGGGACAGACCCCACCCCTGCTGTGCCTCTGTCCCATCCCTCAGAGGAATAAGAGACCTTCTGCCACAAGAGCTTACAGGGCTCAGAGCTTCCATTTCCCTTTCTTTAGGATAAATATGAGTATGCAGGGTGGGCAGTATTTGGACCAAGCAGGCAACAGGGTAAGAAGGTGGATGTGGCCGAACTTGTTACCAGAACCCCAGGTCCCACTGAGCCCCATTTTCATCTCCCTGAACCACTACGTGGGGGTCAGGATCCTGGCCCAGGACAAGATCTTCGTCTCCTTCCTCGCCATGGGGCGACAAGCAAAACTCAACATGGGAACCAAAGTGCAGGTAATTGTTCCTGTGCTGAGCCACTCCCCACAGCGGGAGTGGGGCAGCCAGGGAAGCTCCCCTTCCTCTGTGCTTATCCTGTGTATCCCATGGCGGATGCTCCCTATGTTGTCCCATGCTCCATCCCCAAAAAGAAAGCTGTGGAGATGCACATATTCCTGCCACTCCTATGGAGATGGGACACTTGCCAGCCCCAGCTCCCTGCAAGGGGCCACAGTGTGGGACTCCACTCCCAGGCAGATGCCTGGCAACATCCCCAAGGTCACCCTGGCTCTATGATCCATGTGGGCAGGGTGCATGGCAGCTCATTTCCTCTGCAGGCTCCTGTCCCAGGGGCAGGTTTGTCTGCTGGAGATGGAAGCCCCGTGCCCAGCTGGGTGGCTCTGCTGCCACATGTGCTCTGTTCTGCAGGTCAGCACCGACAGCCAGCTGCCTCCTCCAGCCCGGCTGGGTGAGGACGAGCTGCTGCTGCTCGCCTTCCGCGTGAAGATCCTGCAGCTCTTCGACAGGATGCGGGGATGCCTCAACTTCCCCTCCAGTGAGCAGTGGAACAAAATGCAGCCTCCCATGTACCTCATCAGCCAGGCTGTGAAGATCCTGGAGCTCTGCATGACTGCTGACATAAGCGATGAGCTGGCCAACTCCATCAAGGCGATAGTAAATGCCCAGCAGCTCTGACCAGTGTGTGTGTGGTGTAAGGGAAAATGAGCCAGAGACAGTCCCTTGACACTGTGGCACCTGCATGTGCTCAGCAGGATTTCTCCTCTGGCCCTGCCTGCCCTGGTGCAGAGCAAAGGGCAGTCCAGGGCTGATCCACACAGCCCCAAATGGGTCTTGCTCAGGGCACGGTGCCAGCCCGCAGTGACAGCACCTTGGCCACGGAGACACGGGAGGGCTTTGCTCAGGCAATCCCGTGCTCCACAGCAGTGCACTGCTCCTGAGCAGGCCCCCTTCTGTCTCCAGCCCCAGCTGAGTAGTCACCGCAGCCCTCGGGAAGGCACAAGGCACAAAGGCACAGCTGAGCCAGGGCTTGGCACAGCTACACAGGTACTGCTCTGCCGCTCCTGATAAGAAGGTGGCATCAGCAGGAAGCCCCAGGTGTTCCTGGTGCCCATGCCTACGGCAGCTCAGCCAGCTGCAGGTACAAGGCAGGGTGGTTCCCTGCACAGAGAGTGACAAATGCCCTCAGAGTGCCCAAAGCAATCACCTATGCTTGGCTCCAGGGAGCACCAGCTGCAGCCTGCAATGGGCTCTGGTTCAAGCACTGCAAACACAGAGCTATCCGTGGGTGTTTAGAGGCTCAAGGTGCTGCAGCCTCTCAGAGCTGCCCTTGAAACTAGGGGTGCACCTGGCCAGCTTCCCCCAGGGAGGCCACACCTGAACTGTGGCAGGTGCCTAAAGGGTAAGACCAAGCCCCATGTACCCTTCCCCACACTGGAGGTTCTTAGGGGCATACACATGACAAATACAAGGTCAGTAACTTTGGAAAGTTGGCTTTTTATGCAGTTTTTCAATTGCAGTTCCAAGAATGTCCATCGGTGACAAACCAGGTACTTCACACAGGAAATGGGAACTCTTTATTTCAATTAATGTTCTTGGGTTCTGTTCAGGACAGCAGGAAGGCCCAGCTCATCTCTCAAATGGCCAAGGAAGAACTGCTGGAGCTGGTCCACATGATTAAAGAGCAGCTGATCTTAATTTTCACTGAAGTCACCAAGTGATGTAACAATTCCGCATATAATTTTGCTTATATAATTCAGTATATAATGCACTGTTCGACTCTGCCATAGATTTTGAAAAATATACAAACCTGTTTTAACCACATTAAAGAGATTTGATAGACAGCTATCAATTACTCAACAGTTTAGGACAATATCAGACACTCCTATAACTTCATTTTAAACTACAAAAACATAAATTCATATAAAATACAACAGATTAAACAAACTTCTCTTTTTCCAAGGAAAAATTAGGTATCAACTCAATCTGCCATAGTGTGAAACATGAATATAAAATAAGTTACCATTAGTAATGCCTGCATTGCTGATCTATGAACTGGTCGAATGAAGTCTTAAAAAAACTATACAGTATTATTGCACTCGTGGCTGTGCAGTGTGGACTGGCCAGCACTGAAACAGGGCTCATTGAGTGTTTGTCCAGGAGGCACAACGTGGCTGCAAGAGAGGCATCCAGCCTGCACCAACAGCAGCTGTCTTCAGTGCAGGCCTTCATGGGTCTGCAGCACGTGGCCCAGGAACCACCACCCAATGCCTGTGGAGAGACACCTGGGTTAGAGTCAGCAACAGCCCTGCAGCACAGCAGCACACCTGCACTGAGCCAGCCCCAAGGTGGGGAATCGTAAGCCACAGGTGACACAGGGACGTGGAAGTGCTTGGTCATAAAGTACCTACACAGGATGTGAACTCCACGCTACCAAAAGCTGTGGAGCTTTTGCAGAGGAACGGGGCAGGACACCAGAGCATGACATTGTTCTGCTCTCCAGGGTTAAGCAAGGAATAGACAGCATCCTGTTCCCCAAGGCTCTGGAATTCAACTGGGTTAAAAGCCAGGGAGACCTTAAGCCCCAGGACAGAGGCAATTGTAATGCACAAAGCAGCGTTCCTGATCTCTGCACCACAGCTTCACTGACATTAGGCCTTCTGCCTGTAGTAACACACATTCTCCTGCATCATGGAATGTCAGCTTCCTGCTCTGAGACAGGCAGAATGAGCCACATCCCAAAACCTCCCACCCAAACAGCCTCTGTGACACCACATGTGGCAGTTTTAACATCATGGGAGCTGATTCTCCAGAAAAACATTTAACTGAACAAACACACAATGCTAAAATCCAGTCTCCAGCGTGCCTGTCTTACGTGGGCAAACACACTGGAGGAGACTGGAGGAGACTTACGAGAAGTTTCAGTGCTGATCGATGGGGCTATGATCGATGATGGGGCATTGACTCCATGTGCACATTGAGCTTCATCTCGTTATCAAGGATCTGTACAAGCTGCTGCATGGAAGGGAGGTGGCCAGACTCCAGCTTAGACCACACTGGGACATCTAGTGCAGAATACACACGGGAGAGAAGCACCGTTACACTGGGAGCATCAGAAAACAGGCCGAGCTGGTGTAAACATGGAATTGAGAAGCTCTAGGAAACTGAGCTGGTACTGATCTATGTTGAGGAAAGCATCCGAATCAACAATGCTTCCAACCTCTGGCTATGCTGAATCCCAGCGCACCTAGGAGAGCAGAGTGTCTAATGCTTCCATTTAGAAGTGTATCATATTGATGGAGAGGTATAGAATATCCATTGACATTCCCCTCTACCTGAAAAATCAGTACTGCTGTCCATCAGTACTGATAATCCGGTAATAGTAATGGATTCTTTAGGATTCCAAAGCATAGCATGCTGCAAAACAGACAGGAAAAGCATCTAATTGGAAAGTACATGCCCCTAGCTGATGGTTTCTTATTTAATGCCCATCACACACAAAGAAATAACATAACACAGTTATTCCAAGGCACCAAATATCCCTCTGAGAAAGTTTTTACAGACCTGTTCTAGAATATCTGACATCTGTATAAATTGCTTTATAAGACTCTTATGATTTTCATGATTTATTCTGATAGGCAACACCTGAAGATCCAAATGGATGGCAATTTCCACATATCACAAATTTACTGACACCATCCCTCATTCTCCACACCCCACAGCCCTCACATGTGTATACGTGACACCCCTCAAACAAAGTCTGAGCTCACCATTCAAAGTGATTTCAAAAGCCCCAGTGGACATACACTGGTTCTCAATCATGTTGCTCAGGAAGAAGACCATCATGCAGGCGTACACCTGGAAGGGAACAAAGACCCACACAGATCTCAGCCATGTCAGGCACACCTGCTGTTGTTCACAGGTGCCTCTGAACTCCCTGTCATTGCTCCAGGAACGTTCCCATCTACAGACACCTCCCTTTCCTCCTTTTACAGACTGCACCTTGCCTTCCCCAGAAAAGCACCAAACCAGCTCCAACCCCATCCAACTGGCAGCCTCTGCACACCTCTGGACCCAGCACAGGCAGCTGCAGGGGGCTGGCAGTGTGACATGGGAACTCAACTGTCCCCAGACACAGCCTGTCACTGTCACAGCAATCTCCAGATCACAGAGCCAAGGGCCCAGCCACAAACAGCAGAGCAAGGCAAGTCCCATGCATAGGAACCACCGACCCTCCTGCACACCTCCAAGCTCTTCATCTGGAATTTTCTCTGTGCATGGGTGACTAAGGAGGAAAGGACAGCACCTTCAGCAGTGCAGCTCCTCCCTCACCACCAGCACCTCTCCAATTTCCTTTTCCTGTTCACAGGCACACTCACACAAGTCACTGCAACACCACAGAACCTGGCACAGGGACAGCAGCCACGCACTGCGGCCAGCCCAGCCAGGCACGGAGCTGGCCCATTTAATTCAAATGGAAATATTACAGCTTCTGGGCATGCAAATTGGCCAGTGAAAGACCCAGGGCACTAGGCAGCTCAGCATGAAGGTCTGTAAATTAGTTTAGTTTAGTGGAATAAATCTGGAACAAGGTTACTCTAAATCAGAGTACAAAACCCTGAATCTACTGGCATCATCAGTACTGACTCATGGGAATATTCTCCCACAATGTCATGCCAGTCTGCTCTCCAAAAACACCCACAACATTTCAACTTCATTTTTCTAACACCCTTCTAATTGCTGCCTAATCTATCAGGAGTCTGATGGAAGCATCAACTGCAAAACCATTATGAGACAACAGAGAAGGGAAACGGTAATTTTAACATCAACAATACTGGCTTGAAATGCTCTTCTTGAGCCCTAAAAAATAAAGAACTCTTTTATCGTCTTTGTCAGCACTTTAACTTCAGCTGCCCCTCTGCAGTAGCAGCAGCTTGGAAAGAGATCACAGAAGCACACCTGGCTTTGTCAAAAGCGTAAAGCACAACTGGTAAAATTATTCTACTGTAAGGCTGCAGCATATGAAAGGTAAATCAGTCAGAACTGAGGGACTCATAGCACACCCTCATGAAGTAACTCTGAAGCTGCTTTTTTAGATTAAAAGAAGTATGTCCTTTACCTTGTTTTCCTGGCCCCACTGCCAGATGCTTGGAGCTTGCATGCCAAAGAAAGCAAACGGGTCCTTGCCAACGATGATTAAGCCAATTAATACTAGTTTGAAGACAGACAGGAAGGATGCTATGTGCCTGTTGGAGACAACACACACCAGTGACTGAAGGTTCAGTTCCTACTTCACCATACACAACCGTAATTCACATCACTGGGAGACAGTACAATCAAATGTTTCAGGGCAGGGGAAGTACAAAACTTTCCACGGTTTGTCTCACTGTAAAAGAACCCCAAACCAAATCAAACCAACAAAACAAAAAAGCAACACACATAACAACACCTCCAATAAGGCCCTGCTTCTGCACAGCACCCCAGAATGCCACCTTCCTGTAAAACACAGATTCTTTTGCTCCTCAGCAGACTTCAAATGGGACTTTGCTTTTATGCCTGGCTAACAGATTGAGTTTCTAAAGCTGTGCCATATTACAGACATGTCTGACTGACGGGCACCACTTCCTGTGGAGCATTTCCCAGTGATGTGCAACTCCCCAGAGCCAGCCCACGCGGAG